TTCATTTAGTGTAGCTAAAAGCATTGTTTATTAGTTGGAAACGAAACATTCGAGGAAAGCAAATTATTTAAGAAATCCGTCCAGTACAGTTCGAAGTTGGGACATGTGAATAGGATGTGATGTATAGAGAAATTGTCACAAGAGCATAATGGATTCACATCAATGCCCATTTTTGCCAGATGTGCAGGGAACTTACCATTCTTGAAAAGTTGAAGTTGTCTATTTACTTTTAGGGATAGTGGGGTGGATTAATGAAAAATGATTTTTTGATTCAGAAGAGAATTCTTCCCAGTGATCAGAGCTTTTTCCAAAAATAGTTACTTACACCTATAATGACCAATGTCAAATCTGTCACATCCATATGCCTCATTATTATGAAGACATTGTGACTACATTATAGAACTGTAGTACATATTCATTTCTTTTTGGTGTAAATGTTCTCAATGGTGAGCTGATATGTATGCATTGGCAACTTCTAGTCGTTGGACATATATATTGTTATGAGTTGACTGAATAAGGTAAACATAATTTCGAACTGTCCTGAGATTTGTTTACTATGCACTTTGGAAGACCTATTCCAAGCCCCTAGGTGAAAGGGGAAGATTTAAAAGGCACGAATTCTTACAAAAATATTGTTCAACGATTTCTTATTTTTCAGGGTGCGATAGGTATCTAGAAGACACCGATAGTTGTCCATCATCAAGTTGTCGAGCTGAACCAACATGTGAAAACAAGCATATTACACAGTATGATTGCTACAAAAATAACGGTTGCGGAAACACTAAATGCTTTTGTAAGAAAGGTTATGTAAGACACGAAGGAAACTGCATACCAGTGAATGACTGTCCATATTAGAATGAATTACCTACTTTGTAATCAAATTCAAATGTTTCAATTGTGAATATATGACAAGTAGCACCAAAAGTATTTTATTGAAATCATTCGAACTGATTGAGACTCCAGAGATCATTTCCTATCCTTTATTATCATTTTCGGGATTATGAAGAGAAAGGTGTTAGCTCAGTGTTTTGTTTTGAAACAAAAAATGAAACCCCTTGATGTGTAGGTATATACACTTTTATATATATTTTTTAAGGACCGTTTCATTTATCATGTGGTAACATTGCTATATTCTAAACCGCAACAGATACGAAGACGATTAAATGGGAAAAAAGCAACTGTCATCGGGGAGAATACATCGATCGAAGATAATTTACGGGGACTCTCGCCCTTCTCGATTTATTCGGGAAAAACCAAAAATGCTGTTTTTTGTAATTTTTTTGAACGGAATTATTATTTCAGAGAATATCAAAAAATGGAAAACGAAAATGTTATTGTATTCGAAGTGTACTATGACGATGTAATAATGAATATTCGATAAAACGTTTCGTGTTAACATGGCCACCATCAACTTTCTTTTTAAATACGGACCTGTCTTTTTTATTACATATATTGATAAAGCTATGAATTCACAATCCAAAGGTATATCACATTTGACATTTTGATAGCGTTTCATATGAAATAACCACCAAAATCAGTGATAACAATCAAACAGAAAAATAATTCAATTTATCATGAACTTTTGGGAAAAATAAAACCAATACGGAAAATTGGCGACCTCTTTGTTGAATGCACATAAGTTGTCGGTCTAGACAATTTCTTTGGCAATTTTCTAGCATAATAGGTGTAATACTAATACATGCATCTCTTATTTTTTGTTTGAGATGGTCTATATCTGTACTTGGTGTTGAAAAAAGTTTATCCATTATGTATCCCCGGACAAGAAAATCTAGAGGAGTAAGGTCTGGGGATCGAGCTCGCCAGTTAATTGGTTCATTGTTTCCATTCCATTTTTTTGGGAATATTGCATCTAAATGTTCCCTTACAATTGTTGCATTATGGGGAGAAGCGCCGTTCTGTTGAAAATATTGTATTTCATGGGGATATTCAGTGACAATTCACCTAAGTAGCCATCGAATTTATTGAATAGAAAATGAAGATACATTTCACTATTCAAAAGATTATCTTAAGAGCCAAGGATGTTTGTTCCTACAATTTCCAATCAAACATTTATTCCGAACCTTTCTTGAAAATTGGTTCCCCTGTGTAAATGTTTAAATTTTGTTTGTTTGTTTAAATTATTCCACCTATATGGAATGGATATTTTTGTTAAACCAACCATTGTTGGTGAATTTGTATTGGTCCGTCCATATTATTTTTTCACAAATATTTCCAATTTTCCTATTTCTACGTCTTAACCACTTCGCAAATCGTACTGTCCTTCCGTAATCCCTTTCATTGAGGTGATGAACTTTGCGTATCCTGTAGCATTTATATTTGTTCTTTTTCAAAATAGTTCTGGTGGGTTTTACAGAAATCCCCATTTCGTGGTCAATTTCTCGTAAAGAACACTCTTGATTAGCATAATTTTTGTAACTGGCCAATCCTAAATTAAAAAAAAAAGATGTTTTCACTGTTTAAATTTCTATATGGTAATATTTGCTTATGCATAACATTTACTTGATTCCTCACATTTCCAGTAACCACATATTTTCTTTTTTTTGTTTCTGTCTGTTTACTTTCTAATCGTCTAAACATTTGGATGTTCGGAATACGACGATTCGGGTATAGCTCAACATACATATTCCTTGCCAAAAGAAGATTTCTGTTTGATTTTGCATAACTAAATAACATATCAGTCATGTCATCATTTGAATAGATATTTGATATGTTCATAAACGTCTGACAGTTCTCAACAGATATCAACAATGCATTCATTTTTCCTGTCATAGAAACCAAGCAAAGCCTACGGATTTTAGATGGTAAATGAATTGACATGCTATTTCATCATACCATATTATACAACAATCGAATTTTTACTTCCAGGATTGAGAATTATAAAAATATTACGAATTATAATTGATTAGGGAGAAATAAGCCTTGAAAGAAGGATTATGGCAATACGCAAATTTCCAAAACGAAAAAGTACGAATTTTCATTGTGTTAGGGTACCTACCTGTCGAATTTATTGAGTTGTCTGAATTATATTTGGAAAAAATCAAAACAATTTATAAAAGAAGTAACAACAGGATCGTATATTAAAATTTTTGTCACTGATGATGGTAGTTATTTCAAATGAAACGCTATATAAATATCAAATGTGACCTTCACTAATCAATACACTGAAAAACATCAGACAAAGTATTTCTCCAAGACCGCCGAATGCTAACAAGATGCATGAGATCCACTCCAACTTGTTCACTGCTGAAAAAAAACCTCTGAAATATTCCCAGAGTGAAGACAAAAGTAGCTATAGTCTATTTTCTCAAGCAGCGGAGTAATAAATTATTTTCAAGTGGATGTTCCATAGGCGTACATAATTGATACGGTTGAACAATGCAAAAAATAATAATCATTTCAAACATTCATTGTTTTTATTGTATGATTTTACATAACACATCACCATAGAGTTTTTGATTTTTATATATACGGTTGGTTACAAAAATATTAAACTCGGAATTGTTTTGACTTTTGCATTTCGTAAAGGAATTGATGGGTTTGTCCTTCCCACTACATTTTTAAGAGAGCACATCTATAAAACAAAACGGTCATATTATCTTTGATAAATTACCAGACATGCTACTTGATGACAGCTACGACCCACACAAGAAAGTTATTACATCTGGTCTACATGAAAAAACACGCAAACACTTATAGTGAAAATCATAGAATAAACTCGATTTATTAGTTTTTTTTTGCATACAAACAATAACGAACTAATGTAAACCACGAATTTCTGCTCAGAAAAATCAATTTTATACAGTAAAATAAAATTAAATGTTCGTGGACTTGAGCGAAACGAATTATCGCTTGGGTTATTTCATTTAAAAATCCAATACCCAAGATATTCTTCACAAAAAAATATATCACAGGATTCAAAAACTTCAAAATACTATATATAATGAATTATATATAATTAAAGTAACCTCCAAAGTCATAATCATTTCCAATCAATAAAAACTATAAAATAAATTATTCTTTACTAAAAAGTGTGGCATGGTATATATTTGACTTTGTAATATCCATTGTAGGATGAAAAGTGAACTGAATTGATTGGATTTCCGACATAAAAAAATATGGGAATCTTTCAAAGAACAGAAGGAAGCAATTAATTTCCAAAAATTACCTCTATACAAAACATGTGTAAAGAATTAACTTTAGGGCACAAACTGGAAGAAAAGCCAAAAAGCCCACTCGACACAGCTACTTTCA